ATATATTTTCCCATATTTTAGTCCGTACTCTTTTCTGGGACCTGAAACAAAGTTAAACTAGCTCGCGTTATGGACACTGGCTATCTGCGCTCGTCGACTTTTAATTTTTTTAGCAACCATTTTGCCATTGTAGACTGTCAAAAAACAAAATCCTTCTACAGGTCTGAATGTGATTTTATTATATAGTAGGAGGATATATTGGTTATTGACCAAGTTTGTTCGGTCAAGATGGCTGGATATTGGCCGAGTTACTTTTTTGCGTGCTTATGGACTGAGACGGAGTCGAGGTCCATCAGCACACGCTAAAAAGAACGAGGCCAATATCCAGCCATCTTGACCGAACAAGCTTGGTCAATAAAAGATTTCATGTATTATATGGAAAAAGAACATTATTTTCTTGCGGGACACAGCGGGTAGTCCACAGCGGGCAAGATAGTCCTCTCTTACCCGCTCGGGTAGCCAAGTACAGCGCGGGATTCGGTTTATCTTACCCGCTCACGGAGCTAGCCATATAGTAAATTTGGTTATTTAACTCAACACAATGTTGCTTTAGTTAATTTTCAACTTTAACTTTACTTTGTGTCTTTTAGTCTTTATATAGATGACACATATGTCCGTGACGATTACTTAATACGGACACCTAGATAAGACAGACACTTTTGTGTGACCCTTTGGTATCCATATTAAGCGGTGACCGGAGCCCATCACGGATGGGCTCCTGCCGGCGAACACACTTTGTCATGGTGCTTGCAATTGTTTCGCTGTCTAGCAAAGAGTGAACGTTCTCTGGCCTTCCGTCTTTCTTTTAGGATCCACAATTAAGAAAGAGCAAAGTTTTATTTTGGTCAGTATAACCAATTACCAAAGCTGGATCCAGGATTTTTCAAGGGGAAGGGAAGGGGGGTGGGGAGAGTGGCTGGTACCTTGCGGCTACAAAATCAATGGGAAATGCTCTCAAAATGTTGCAATATGAGAATGGCACTAGAAATGCGAACAATGCCACAAAGTAGAAATTACAATGAGGTATCTGTACAGAGAGCTTGTCTTTGCTTCTGCCATAATATTCACAACCGTTTTATAAGTTTTTATGTTTTGGTCTTCCAAAGGGTGGTGGCTAGCCACTCAATCCAGCCCCTCTAGATCTGTCCCTGAATTACGTATGTTCCATCTACTGTAGCTAACTCGACTGATTCCGCTGTGAATGAAACATTGCTTAAACTAATTGAAAGTGTCTTTTTTCCACTCAACCAAGCAATATCGACGTAACATTGCACATTTTGTTAAGGGCAAGACGTACATTAATATTTATAATATAAACAATATTATATGTAATGCCTCGAAGCTAAAGAGTGCTTGATAATCGAGGAGTTAAGTAAGTTGTAGAATCGATTGATCACAAGAGAGTAAATAACTTCGCGTTAATGAGTAAAGGTAGCGCGGTAAGATCAGTGTAACTGACATCTTGGATTTGAACGGCAAGGAAGATCAGGGGATGAAGTTGGGAGGCTTGCCAGTTTCTTATCTCGTGTCTGACTAGTCACTATCAATAATACGTGACTGGCGAGGGGATAATTCTATTACAATTTGGTCATAGAGTGGTTTTCAATGATATAGTGTCGTTAACTCAAAACCAAAGTAACTGCCTGATTACTTTCTACACACAATTGAAAACCGCCCTATGACGTAACAGACCCAACAGCTGCGACTTCTTTTCCCAGATCGGCCACT